ACCTTTAGAAGACTTTTAATGTGATGTAGTTTTTCTGTCTCAAGAATCTTATCATCTGGACCGATGTGATATGAACAACTTTGACCATATTTTGTAATACTTTGGAAAGTATAAGATGACTATGAGAAATTAGACATGGAGAAATTCTAATAATTATATTTTAATGGTGATTCCTTTCTCTGAGGTTCATGACTGAATAGCTGTAATGTCTTTGCTAGTTTTACCAAAGCATGAGTTTTGTAGTTGGTGTTGACGGTATTTTTGCTGGTGGTTTGGACTTGTTGCTGTTCTGTTTGGGCGCTGCTTGAACTCTGGCACTCCCTCAGTGGCTGAGCTGTATCCCAGGCCAAACTGTTTCTTTAACGATCTGGTCCTGTCCTCAGCCCCCAGCAGCCGGCAGCCTCCCTCCTTTGGTAGGTCTGGTGACCCAGAGTCCTTGAACGGACAGTGCTGTCCAGTTTGCCAGTCTCACCCCTGCCTTTAATGCTGGAAGGCATATATTTACCTTGAAAGTTTGAAAAATGGCTAGTTCTAATTTTGCTCTGTAAGAAGTCTGATTTATTTACTTTTGGAATTTCACAACACTTTGAAATATTTAGAGATACTGTAGGGTGTTGCAAATAGAGGATTAGAAACCACTGGCATGGATCCAAGAATGTACTTTGCCAATATGTGGTTTTTCCCAAGGCAGTTTATTACTGCTTTCCTAATTGTTTTTTATATCTCTCACATGTGATAAAATGTTCTTCTAGTAGTCCTTTCCCCCCCTCTGTATCCTGAACAAGGACATTTTGGGCAACATATTTGTTGTTTATTTGTGTGTTATTTTGGTTAAGGTTATGTTGTAGTGTGTTATTCTTTATCATATCTATATTACTTGCCAGAAGTCTAACTATGACTAAATTCTGAAAGATAATGTCTGTTACATAAATTGGGCCCCAAAACATCAGGCGTGTCCCACTAGTGGCCTCATGGCTACAGATGGCCAAAGTCAGCTGAGAATGCAGACCAACCTCAACTCATAAACTCACTTCATAAAGCATTGTGCATTTTTTATGACTTGTCAGTGCATTTTTGAGTGAAGACTTTGTAAGTGGCAATAATATGTTTCAGTGTCAAAAGGTTGACCATCCATGGTGGAATCAAACCATAATAATTTGTAATAAAGATGATTTATTATCAAATATTAAAATTAATGCATGAGGCACAGAGATATGGAACCCAAATATTAGAGTATTTATTGTCCAGAAGTATAAAGGGTCATTGAATCCTAATATAAATAGTACTTTGGAGAAAATGTTGATAAATCTATCTTGAATAAGAGGGAAAAACGCTGTAAAACCTTTTCGCCAGCTGCTGAAGATCAATGAAGTAATAACTGGACGAGTGAAGGGTGTAAAGAATGTCAAGCAAAGGTGGAGGGATTGTACAGTGTTCTTGTGATAAAGGTGCAGAATCAGGACAAATCACATATTCTAGAATGTGGGATGACTGACCTGAGCAAAATAAGGTGTGGTGTGTTGAGAAGTAATATCAGAAGTAACGTATGGGAACATAACACAGGGATCAGAGTTCTTAATATTCAATCAGTGGTTCTCAACCTTCCTAATGCTGCAGCCCTTTAATACAGTTCATATGTTGGGGTGACCCCCAACCATAAAATTATTTCTGTTGCTACTTTAAAACTGTCATCTTGCTAATGTTATGACTAGTCATTACAGGATATCTGATATGACCTCTGGGGTGGGTCACGACCCACAGTTTGAGAAGCACTGCTTTAAAGGAAGAACAGAGAGGGTGGTTCTAAAATATTATATTTGTGACATTTATTGCAGGGATATTTTTCTACATGTGTTATTCCTTTTCATGACATCTGTAGATATTTCACTCAGGAGAGTAGTATGAATGAGAATTTTAGAGGAAGAGTCAATTCATTTGTTCTATAATGTTCTATAATTAAAGTATAATTCAAAGTTCTATAATGATGATGTATTTCTTGGCATAAATTGCTAGCCAAATGGAGAAAGGCAGGGGTTCTCTGCCAGAGAAGTAGACCACTTGCATTTTGGTGGATCGGTAGCTGTGTTTGTGACTTTTTCTTTCTGTTAGTATACTATTCCTTCCGCTTTCTCAGAGGAAGCATACCATGATTGCATCCGGCAGAGTCCACGAGAAAAAAGTTCTAGTGTGGTGTGAGGCCACCACTCTGTGCTCTCAGTCAAGCGCAAACTCAGCTTAAGCCCAGAAAGAGTTTTCCAAATATCTTCTCAACAGAATACTGCAAGCAACCTGGTTGCGTTTCAACTTCCTGTGAGAAATTACAACCTCCTAAAGCAGAAGAATGTGTTCTCAACTTACATTTACCCTATTCTACTGAGAAAAAGTAATACTGGCAGAAATCAATGTAGGCCCATTGATTAACAATGGAAAAATTGGACAAAGTCTGTTTTGTGTAAACTACACAGTATCTTTTTTTTTTTTTTTTTTTTTTTTTTGCTTTTTCGAGACAGGGTTTCTCTTGTGGCTTTGGAGCCTACCCTGGAACTAGCTCTGTAGACCAGGCTGGTCTCGAACTCACACAGATCCGCCTGCCTCTGCCTACCGAGTGCTGGGATTAAAGGCGTGCGCCACCATCGCCCGGCACTACACAGTATCTTATTAAAACCTGGAGAAATTAAGACAAATCAAAGTCCTCACCATGAGGCCCATGGTTTGACACTCCTAACTCTGTTGAGTAATGACAATGGTCACAATGACAATAAGGCCCACAAGAACTTCAGGACTTAGTTTTGACCCTACAGGCAAGATGATGGGACATGTGAATGCACTCGGTTGCCTTCATTTGAAAGAACTGAACTAGATCAACTATGACGTCCCTTTTGGGAATTTTCAAGAAATTACTTAGTATCTATGGTTCTTAGTTTTCCACAGATGCAGGAATAACCAAGAGTTAAAAAATTCATGAAATTATGTTTTTAGTCAAGTGCAAACTAATATGCCCACGCATAGAACTGATCCTGGCTGCTGAGGTGGGTGGGATCCATTCTAATAGTGTGGTACTCCTGAGGGCAATCCTTTTCTTTTCTCAAAGACTTCATACAATCCTTCCATGTTCCTGTGTTAGTTAACTGCTTGTCACTATGACAAACCCCCAAAAGAAATATTTCAAAAGGAAGGAAGATTTCCTTTGGCTTGCACTTTGATATGCTTCTGTGCATTGTCAGCTGGTTTGTGTGCTTTGAGTTTGGGGGGAGACAGAATATTGCTCACCAAAAAGCAGAGAGACAGGGTGGGGCCAGAGACAAGATGGAACTTTCTAGATCATGCCCCTAGTGACCTTTGTCCTCCAAGCAGGTCCCACCTCCTGTTCTCTAATAATGCCACCCTGTTAAAAATCCACTAAGGGATAAATCCACAGATGAAGTTAGATTCCTTATGATCTAATTACCCCTCATTGACTTGATCCAGCAGCTTGGAGCATTCAACTTGTAAGACCATTGGGGAACGTTTCATGCACAAAGTGTAAAAGTCCTACATTGATCGCAATTGTTCAGAATCATTTAGGTTGAGGTACAACAAAGTCCTCATTATAGCTGCAGTGGGGAGTTCATGCTGCAGTGACATGGGGACTAGTATTCATTCAACATGGAACTCTGGTTAATGAGAAATGATAGAGGAAATTGTTAAAACAGTAAATGCAGTCTTCTAAAAGGGCAAAAATATTTTAAAATATTAAATATTGGGAGAATAAAGGGAAAAATTCAAGCTCATGACCCTAATCTTTTTTTAAAAAAATAATTTATTTAGATTCATTTTATGTGCATTGGTGTGAAGGTGTCATATCCCTTAGAACTGGAGTTACAGACAGTTGTGAGTTGTCATGTGGGTGCTGGGATTGAACCCAGGTCCTCCCAAAGAACAGTCAGTGCTCTTAACTACAGAGCCATCTCTCCAGCCCATGATTCTAATCTTTAGAGGCATACATATTTTATAATTCAGAAATTTGAGTCACTTTAGAAAAAGATTAGACTGTAGTTTATATAATTTCGTATGTGAGGTCTTGACCAGCAAGCACCATTTAAATAAGCATCGCTCCTCAAGGAAACAAATTCTCATGCAGTGAGTTAAGAACACATGGTGGTGGAAAGATGGTTCAGTTGTTAAAAGCATGTAGTGCCTTGCTAGAGGACTCGAGTTCCTTTCTCAGCACACACATGGGTCAAACCTACGCATAACTCCACTTTCAAGGATCTCACTCTATTTTGGCATTCAAGGGTTCCTGTATGCAACAACCCCCATTTTACCACTTCAACAACTTTTATCCCAGAAACTTTACTTCTTTGTCCATTCCCAGCTCTATCAATGACTAATACTTGTAGATATGGGTCTGGAGGGCATCCCGAGGATGCTGAGATATTTCAAGGTACAGTGATTGAATTTTACCAATAAGAATCTTCAGTTGCTTGCATCATATCTTGGTAATATGTATAAAGTGAATTTTCTAGCTCACTTTGGATAGAAAAATGAGATCACCCAAAATTCCACTTAAACCTCAGTAACAAACCACCAAAACTTGGATCTCTCTATTTGCTTTTTTTTTTAATTAAGAAAAGAAGAAAAAAAACATAAACAAAAAACAAGTTTCCACCTCCTCCCAGCCTCCCATTTCCCTCCCCCTCCTCCCACCCTTCTCCCCCTCCTCCCACCCTTCTCCCCCTCCCCCCACTCCTCTCCCCCTCCCTCTCCAGTCCACAGAGCAGTCCGGGTTCCCTGCCCTGTGGTATTTTAGTCTGCTTTATGCAGTAGTAAGTACATTTTCTTTGATTTTAATGTTAGTCTTGTTTTTGGTCAACTTTTCATCAGTGGTATGATCCCAAGAAGCAAAAGAGGTGGTGTTTGTTCTCAGGACAATGTTTCCAATAGGCAAGGTTTGCTGGGCGGGGTTGAGTGATGAAATATAATTGATGTATTAGACACTCACCTTATATTTCCACCCTCAGGTAAAAGACCAAGCTTGAAAGTGCACATCAACACCACCAGTGACTCCATCCTGTTGAAGTTCCTGCGTCCAAATCCAAGTGTAAAATTGGAAGGTTTTCTCTTGGGATATGGCAGCAACGTGTCTCCAAACCAATACTTCCCTCTTCCCACAGAAGGGAAAGTCACTGAGGCAGTAGTAGGTAAGGTGTTTGGGGATCAAACTCAGGGAGATGGGTGGATGATAAGAGGAACCAACTATAACAAGATGTCCTAATGTGGAAGATGAAAAACATTTCTTCTACATCCTTGGCTGAGCCCAATGTGGCAGTATAAATCACCTTTGCAATTAATGCAACACAAAGCACAGTTCTTTATATTGAAACTTTTTATCGTAATAAGAAATAATTGTCAGCCTGGCAGTGGTGGCGCACACCTTTAATTCAGCACTCGGGAGGCAGAGGCAGGCGGATCTCTGTGAGTTCGAGGCCAGCCTGGTCTACAAGAGCTAGTTCCAGGACAGGAACCAAAAGCTACGGAGAAACCCTGTCTTGAAAATCCAAAAAAAAAAAAAAAAAAAGATAGCTACTATAGATTTTTGGATTTTATCTTTGGAAAGAAAAAAAACATACTGCATTTTAAAATTTTTAGTAATTCAGACAAGGAGGTTGAAATTTAATATGAATTATGAAATCGTGCATTTCTTTGAAAATCTTTTAATGATATAAAATTAGAGTTTCAGGATGTGAGCCATCTTCTCACTTTCTCTGTGGGAAAATGTAAATATAATCCACTTAAAGGATTAAATGGTTTTGATAAGGATGATTCATTGTAAAATCTTTGAAAGTCAAGGGTGAGATTTGGTTCTTTACTTGCTGCTAAGATGTGGCTTAAGAGCCCAGTCTCTGAACTTTTGGGAGTACAACCCCCGTGTTCCAGCACTTCATATTGGTTCTTGCATTTTCGAGTGTGTAATGAGAATGCCAAAATGAGTTGATTTTGTTCTTCTGCCTTTTTTTTTTATCCGGAGAAATAAATCTCTGTTGCTCCTTAATGCCAGCCAGGAGGTAATATTGTTAATTAATGAGCAATTAGAAATAATGTTGTAAAGTAGCGAGTAACTCAATTTTACATAAGGGAACCACTTTAAAACAAACCTAAGAGATGATTACCTCCCACACTCTGAGAATTAGGTAGTTTTCACAAGTTTGTAACCAATTCCATGAAGAATTTGAGTTCGGATGATTATAAATATTCCCCAGTATGATCCAATTTTCACTATGGGAAGTGACTAAAAGGCAAGCTCACTCTCACGTTGATATACCACCCCCTTTCCAGGGAGTTTTAGAATTAAACATATTATTTTTGATAGACTTTTTTGATATTTAACCTGGTAATTTGTTAGCTTCCTTTATAGCATGTGAAAGCATTAAATATTAAGATGGCAGAAGTCAAATTGCTAATGAAAAAATGTGCATAATCTAAAGAAAATTTTCTGCATAAAAATTCCAACCTATTGTTTTAATAATTAAGGTTTATCAAATGCCCTGGGACCCCTTCTATTTATTATTTTAATCCATGACTTTTGATTGTATAAATTTCCAAAGTGAATGGGAATGATGTTGATGAAAGTCTTGTAAAACAGGTTGAATACATCACTGTGCTAATGTTGTTCTATGTGGTTGTGTATACTGTTTTCTGGAGTGTTTTAAAGCATAAAATACACATTTATCAAGTATGCATCTATAACAGATAAGAAATACTTTAATAACTCCATAAATTTATTATATTATTGCTTTAATCCTACAATATCACTTTATACCTGGATCACACTTAAAATTTCTCATGTGATCTTACAACTGTCTTTTAGAACTGGTCTATTTGAATCACTAAATAAAGTTCACATATTGCATTAGATTATGGATCTTAGTTCTCTTCCTTTCCTTTCAGAATATCATTGGTATGTAGAGAGTGTGGGATGTCCACAGCCTACATTTAATGGGCGGCTTCTCTTACGTTTTTTCCTTTGCAGTACAAAAGATAGCATATTGTAAAATGGAGACAATCTACATTTTAGGCAGGATTTTATACTAGTACAAATTCTCTAGAGCATACAGCTTCTTTAAGATGGTATTTCCATGTTCATTCAGATGAAGGAGACAAGAGTTTATCTTTGCTATTTGTAGGAGAACCTCTGGCCAGATAATGATCTTATAAGGTTTATACAGTTATCTATTCATGAACTTGCATGAAGTTCATAACATACCCAGGCCAGAGATATGATTTGGATCTTATTCTTTTGACAAAGTAACCAAGAATCTAGTAGTTGTACTCTGGAATTTTAAACACTGCTGATTATGAGGAAAGGATCCATTCTCCATGAACTCTGTGCCTGCTAACACACAACTAGCTATTCAGTATTCTTCCCTAGAGTTGAAAGTCTAAAATTCTTGTGGAATATTAGTTGAAGATATGTTACATTTGCTTATGCTATGGAATATTTGTTTAATGATGCAAAGATGTGTTACATTCTTTTATGTTGCATTGTTTATCTCTGTGAAGCTGTGTTAGTTTGCCTGCTTAAAACATCTGATTGGTCTAATAAAGAGCTGAAGAATGACCAATAGCTAGAAAGGAGAAGAATAGGTGGGGCTGCCAGGCAGAGAGGATAATTAGGAAAAGAAAGGGGGGAAGAAGGAGGAGCGAGAAAAGGAGGAGAGGAGGATACCAGGGTCTCACTACCCAGCCACACAGCCAGTGTGAGAAATAGAAAATAAGAAAGAATAGAGCCAGAATAGAGAAAGGTAAAAACCCCAGAGGCAAAATGTAGAAGTATGGAAACGGAATAATTTAAATTAGGAAAGCTGGCTAACAAGCCAAGCTAAGGCCAGGCATTCATAAGAAAGAATAGGTCTCCATGTACTTATTTGGGAGCAGAGTGGTGGGCCCCAAAGAGTAAAGAATAAAAACAACCAACTACATAAAATATTTTGGGAAATGAACATTGAGTAAGTCTGGCTATCTATGGCTAAAATGGAGTATAGAATGGTAAGCTCCCTAGTCTTGCTACTTTCAGGATGTAGTAGATGATCTACAGAACTCAAATATATGGAATTAAACTGACACAGGACCATTTGAAAATGAAGCAGCTGTAAGCAAGAGGAGAAAAAGTTAAGGCTGAAGCTAGGTACATAGGCTCCAACAAATAACGCACCAAGGAAAAAGTCACAACCCATTTCCACCATGAAGATCCAGAGATTCAATTTCCAAGCTATTTGCAGAAAAGGATGGGAGTGCTTGACATACTTTTTCAATATTTTTATTTTAAAATACAATTGCATCACTTTTTCATTTCCCTTTCCTCACCCCACCACCTCTGTGTACCCCTAACCCTGCTCCCTCTCAACCCATGGATTCTTTCTCTTCAATTGTTATGTCTGTGTGTAAACATTGTAACCTAGTGAATCTGCCCAGTGTTGCTTGTAGTATATGATTTCGGGATGAACTGTTTCAAACTGGACAACCAACCAAGGGGCTCATCCCCAGGGAGGAATATTTGTCCTCTCTGTTCCCAACATTCTTTAGTTCTCTGTAGTTCTTTGTTGAGGCGTGGGTACTGTGAGAATTCCCATTTCCACAATAGAAAGTCTATTGGTGTTGTCTTTGTTTAGGCAGCCAAACTTTGAATCTGATTTTATAGAGCATGCAAAGAAGGTGAGAATTCAAATTAGCAGAAATATGTGCATAGCATTCAACTTTGATATTAGAAAAAATGCCCTCTAAGCTGCAGTGAGGATATCCAAATTCAGATGGTTTTTTTTTTTTTTTGCTATAGTTTAATTGGGATCTCACCAAGGCCAGCTGGCCTAGGTCTGAAAAAGCATGGGATAAATCCGGACTAGCTGAACATAGCGGACAATGAGGAATACTGAGAATTCAAGAACAATTGCAGTGGGTTTTTGATCCTACTGCACGTACTGGCTTTGTGGGAGCCTAGGCAGTTTGAATGCTCACCTTACGAGACCTGGATAGAGGTGGGCAGTCCTTGGGCTTCCCACAGGTCAGGGAACCCTGATTGCTCTTCGAGCAGATGAGGGGGGGGGGGGACTTGATCGGGGGAGGGGGAGGGAAATGGGAAGCGGTTGTGGGGACGAGGCAGAAATCCTTAATAAATAAATAAATTAAAAAAAAATAAAAAAAAGAATAGTATGTATACATTATTAAAATTGATCAAATAGCACAAAAAGGTTATTTAGTCTCTTTGTCTCCTTTCTTTTGTAAAAATGTTGAAGTTTGACATCAGTACCAGGACATCACAGGGTCCCTAACTTAGTGATGAGCTTAGAGTGAGATCCGAAGGTCAGCTAGCTGACCCTTTCTATTACAAGTCCTTTCCTCCTTCCCACTCTCGCTCCCTCCTGCTGCCCCCTCCTCCTCAGATGTGGACCCTAGCTGCTTGTCTTGTCGCCTTGGATATGATGGCAGCAGGTCTGGAGTGGACTTGGGTGGGGCTAAAACAGATATGTATTTCTTTGAGCCTGTGTGATTTCAGCTCGGTTAGGCTTCAGCCAAGGAGGCACCTATGAAAATGTGGGAAACCATGGCCCTGAGAGCGGAGGGGCGGTGCCTGAGGTCTACAGCGAGGGTCAGAGTGGGCCTGCCAACTCGACTGTGTCCCCTGAGACGGGGTTTCTTTCTGTGAGCAGTCTAGAACAGTTACATGTGGTGAGCGGCAGTCGGTATTAACTATGGGATGGAAACTGAGCTGGGTCAAGCAGATCTGTAATCCCAAGTACTTGGGACACTGAGGCAAGAGGATTGACAGTTAGTGGTAGCTCTGTCCCAAAGAGTTAAAAGCATCGGGTGGGGGGCTGAGAATATAGTGTAGTGGTAGAGCACTTGGTTGGTTCACTCTCTAGCACCACACAGGAAAACCAAATGGTGGAGATAGCATAGGCACGGCTGAGTGTGTCACGGGTAGTAACAGCAGTGTGGGTGTCCGCGCACACAGATGTTTTTTTTATAATTACTTTTCTTACTCTTTCAACTACAGAATAAGGAACAGACATTCCTTTCAAATTTAAATGGCCACGCCATTTAAAGTATTCTAAGTATATTAAGAATTTCAATGTGACAAGTGATGTTCTCTAGTTCCATTGATGGTTTAAAAATGGAAGCTATATCATATCAAGAGAAAACACTT